ATTCTTTATCAGGCAAATTACTTAACTGCTTCCTTACAGCTCTTTTCTGGAGATTTTTCTTATTCCTTCATTTGAGAGATATTTTTCTACCTTCATTTTGTTTGTCTATGTTTACATAAACTAGATAAAATAGCTCTCTCCCCCAATCTTGAAAAGGTGGCCTTGTGTAGAAACTTCTGTGTAGGCTGTGCACACAGAGGCTTTTGGAATTGAGTGGGTGTCTATGGCATCCCGAGCACTGGCCTACTTGAGCCAGTGTAGCTCTGGGTGGGGAGGCCAGGTATGTGTAGTAATGCCATTTTGATCCTGTTTGCTCCCTTTGTTAGAGGCCAATATGGGCTCAAGTGGTGTGTCCAGGAATACGGTACCATAACCTTCCAGGTAAGCCAGAGCACCTGAATACAACTCTCACCTTATCAAGGTGGAGGGGGATGTAAACAATCTTATTCACTGGCACCACTGACCTCAGAGAATTCCCACAGCTTCCATAGAGCTCCTGCAGTTTCCCAGCCTTCTCTATTCAGCCTCTTCCTCCTATTTGTTGTTCAGAAGCTGTTTCACTCAGCTCTCCATTGTCTCTCATGAGTAATTGTTCTCTATCTGGGTATGTATTTCAGTGTGCTTGTGGGGTGGACGAGTTCAGCATTTTACACCACTGCCATCTTGGATCCCTTATTCTTTTAATATGACAGAAACAAGATTATGAGAAATAGTATAGTAGTCTATCTGTTGCAGTTTAAAAGAGCAAATATTTACTTATCTTATGAGGTTTCTGAGGCTCAGAAATTCAGAAGTAGCTCAGCTGGGTGGGTCTGATGCCAGAGTCTATGACGAGGATGCAGACAAGATCTTGGGAGTTGGAGAAAATGCTTACAAAATGACTCACCCACATGACTGGTGGCAAGAATCAGTCGTCTGCTTGTTGGTGGCAAGAGGCCTGTTTTTCACCATGTGAGCCTCTCTGTATAATTGCTTGAGTTATCTTAATGTCATGGTAATTGGCCTCCCCAGAACAAGTTATTCAAGAAAGCAGCCAGGAAGAAGTCAATGTCTTTTATAATCTAGCCTCAGAAGTCATATGCCATCACATTTGCATAGATCACACAGACCAATGCCGATACACTCTTGGAGGGATTACACAGGGTGTGATTATCAGGAGGTAGCCATCACTGGGGATCATCTTGGAAGCTGGCTACCGTAGTCTGACCTCTGGCTCCCAATGATCCATGGCCTTCCCAAATGCAAAATACATTTACCTCCTCCTAAGTCCTCCAAAAACTTCATCTCATTATATTATCAGCTCAAAGCCCAGTATCCATCATCTAAATCAGATCTAAGGGTGAATGAGGCTCCTTGTGGGTAATTCCTTAAGTACAGTAACTCAAGTACAGTTTCTATTGATCTGAAGACTTGTAGGCTAAAGACAAGTTATGTGCCCCTCACATGTACAACATCCAATGGCATGGCATACATAGAATTGTTATAGATCCTCCTCTTCCAATAGTGGAGAAGTAGAAGACATGCAAGAGTCATAGGAATTGTGGAATCCAACCAGACACAGGTTGGAAGCTCCTTGATTAGTATTCAAGGCTAGGGAACAATTCTTGATTCTTGGCTAAGTATTTTTGTGTTCTTGATTCTGTCCTCTGAGTTACTCTTTTCTCATGTAGGGTAGCATGTGTTTGTAGCTTAGTGGGATGTTTTTTTCAGTCTGTTTTCTCCTTGTAGAAATGTGAGGGTCCAAAGGCCTCTTGCACTCTCTCCTTTCAGTCTAACTTAGCAGTATATCTGCCAATATAAATTTTCAAAATTTTGCAAGTCTCCTACAAATCTCATTGGGATTCATGGTAGTAAACAAAAGCCATACCCCAAAATTTCTTCAGAATAAGCCACCTCTAATTTGGGATTCTGCTGAGACAATTGGAGAAAACACCATTAAGCTTCTAATAAAACATCTTGGTTTTTTTCTACAGCTTTAAGGGACTTTTAGGCTTATATCCTCAATTTCATCTTTAGACCATGTTTTCCTGAAAGTTCCCTCTGTTTTGTCTTTGTCTTGAAGCCATTTCTTAAATGTAGCATTATTTTGCCACTTGGGGAATCTGGGAATTTTTGAAAAACTATCAATATGCATTCCTTTTTGTTTAGTAGTCCTTCTTTTAACTTACCTCTCTCTTGTATAAGCAGCAAGAAGAAGCCAGGAGGCAAACTGAACACTGGAAATCTCAGCTAGATCACCCAGTTATCATTTATTTTCTATGTTCCTGTGGGCACGTGTTGCTCAACTTTCTGCCACTACACAACAGTAATACCCTCTCTTGCAATTTCTAGTAAGATTTAACGTACTCTCAAGTTCACAATGCAGCCTCCTCAAAAGCCATCATACTGAGTTGGCCAAAAAGTCTGTTTAGCTTTTTCCATAAAAGACACTTTTTCATTTTCACCAATAACTTTATTGATTTGGATATTTTGAGTATGTCAGCTATCTCCCATTATTGGCTTCTAGTGGGTAGAGGTGAGGGGTGCTGCTAAACATCTTCCAGTGCACAAGACAGCCCCACAGCAAAGAATTATTTGGCCAAAATGTCAATAGTACCAAGAAAATTTGCAAACTACTTTTGACATGTTCGACCAGTCACAGCACCTTCTCCATATGCTGTACAAATCTTTTTGGGGGGTTTCAGCTGTGTTTTTACCTTTCTTGAAGAAAGCATAATATGCCAAAAATGTTGTACATCTTCTTTCATTTTCAATATTAAAATGGCTACACAAAAATTCACCAATTTTGATAAGTTTTTTTAAAAATGCATGCTGCACCCTGGCTGGTATAGCTTAGTGGATTGAGCACAGGCCTGCAAAGGGTCCCAGGTTTGAGGCCCAGTCAGGGCACATGCCTGGGTTGTGGGCTGGGTCCCCGGTTGGGGGCGTACAGCAGGCAACCACACATTGATGTTTCCCTTTCTCCTTCCCTTCCTCTCTCTCTACAAAATAAATAAAATCTAAAAAAAAAAAAAATTCATGTTGCTATGATAGGTGTCACAATCTAACAAAATTGTTTCAAATGAAGTTAAAGACAACTAAGCACTACTAGAGCCATCATACAGAAAAAAACTAAACAAACTTTTTGGCCAACCCAATACTTCCCAACAGTTTTGTCAAGGCTCCTTGGGCCTGCACTAACACTGTCTTCAAAGTCCTTCCAACTTCTCTTCACTGCTCTGTTCCAAATCCACAGCTGTTTTTGTTACAGCTACACTCTTCCAGTATCAAAATCTATTCAACTTATTTCAGGTACAATTCTCAGTTCATATACCATGAAATTCATCCTTTTAAAGTATACATTCAGTGGGTTTTAGTATACAGATAGGGTTTTGCATCCATTCTAGAACATCTTCACTCAAGAAATCCTATACCCATTATTCCCATTTCTCTCTCCTCACAGGCTCTGGTAACTGCCAACCTACTTTTTATCTCTTTGGATTTGCCTATTATGGACATTTCATATAGAGTTTATACAATGTGTGGCCTCTTGTGTCTGGCTTTTTTCATTTAGTGTAATGTGCATTAGTTATCTATTGTTGCATAACAAATTACTCCATCTCATAATTTCCATGTTTCTTAAGTTTGGAAGCTGATTAGATGAGTGGTTCTAGCTCAGGGTCTCTCGTGTGATTGTGAGAAATATGTCAACAGGGGCTTCAGTGATTTGAAAGCCTGACTGGGGCTAGAAGATCCGATTCCAAGATGGCTCACCCTTATGGCTATAGGCAAGAGGGCTTGCTGGATTTGACAAGAGTTCTGTTTATCATTACATGGGCCTCTCCATAGGTATGCTTGACTATCTTACAGAAAGATTGAAAGGCCCCTTTAGATTGAGTGAAGAGTGAACAAGGCAAAGCCACAATGTATTTTATAATCCAGCCCTGGAAGTCATATAACATCATTTATGCTAAATTCTATTGGTCACACAGACCAACTCTGATTCAGTTTGGGAGAGGTCTACATAAAGGCTAAATCTCAGAAGTAGGGATCACTGGGAGCCATCTTGGAGACTGGTTCCACAAACAGCTTATTGTAGTGAACATACTGGGAAATTTTGTTGTAACAACCATAGATGGTGTATATTGGAGATTATACTGAATTCAGAAAATTCCAAAAGCAATTGTAAGTTTTTATATACCCTAATAAAAGGTTTTTCTGTCATTCTGAGCCCTAAACCCATTTCTTCACTTTCCACTTTGATTTATAAAGGTAAATAGAGGAATATCTGAGTTGGTTGAAGTATAAAGTAGCTTCTATGAACAGATGCATTTTGTCTCCTTACTTCTTTCTTGCTTTTCCTGATCTCTCAATCTTATATTCATGTTTGTAAATTTTTTCAATCCATGCTGCATTTTTTTTAATCCTCGCCCAAGGACATGCTTTTATTGATTTTAGGGAGAGAGGAGAGAGTATTGATTGGTTACCTCCCATATGTGGCCTGACCAGGGATAGAACTCACAATCTAGGTATGTGCCCTGACCAGGAATTGAAATGGCAACCTTTGAGGTAAGGGCAACACTCCAAAATCAACGGAGTCACCCAGCCAGGGACAAGTCTCTACCCTAAAAGGAGCTCCTGATAACTCAAGCCCCAAGTGCAGTCCTAATTATGCTGTATTATCAGGGTCACATAAATCCAAGGCATTACACTGTGATTGTTACTATATTAAATACGTACTTCTAAAACGTGTTTCCAGAGTTATAATAGCAAAATTATATTTACAAATAACAAGGGAGTTCTTTCCACTTGTAATTGTTTAACTCCATTTAGAGCAATTTGGAAAAGGACTGAAAATCAAGTATGTAGGGCTTCTACTCTTGAAATGAAGCACAAACCAATCAGAAAAAAAAATATATATATATATATAGATATATATAAATTTAAACCAAACTCACATATAAGGCATACATTAATTTATAACATGCGCACATACTTAGGAAAAAAAGGAAACGGGGGAATTTTCCCATAATCAAAACTTTATTGAAAAGCTGACACCAAAATAGGAAATCATTGTTGTATACTTACAAAATTAAATGTAATTACATTATCTTGGTAGATAAAGTAGAATTACTGAACTGATAAGGCTTTCTGTGATACAACACAAATTCAGGAAGCTGTGTGGATCATTAGTGTTGCTTTCTTCTAAAAGAACACCCTGCAATGGAATTACAAGAGCATATTAAATACAAGTCTATTCTATTTTTGGTATATACATTTTTAAATTTTATTTATTTTTTTTAGAGACAGAAAAAGGGAGGGAGAAAGAGCAGGAGAGAAACATTGATTGATTGCTTTTTGTACACCTCCAACTGGGGACCTGGCCTGTAACCCAAGCATATGCTCTGACCAGGAATTGAACTGGCAACCTTTTGGTTAGCAGGCTGTCATTCAACCCACTGAACCACACCAGCCAGGGCTCTTTGGTCTAGTTTTAATGGCAAAAAATACTGAAGTAAAAAAACTTATGTTTTAGGAATATTACATTAATATTGATATAAAAGCAATGGGTGCTTTTAAGTTTTATATTGCTATAAAAACAATATAATATCATTATATTATTATTGATATACAATATAAGTATATTAATATGTTATATTGATAGAATATTGATATTTGGGGGATATATTGATCCCCAAAATATCACAAGCAAATTTCAAATATCATAATGGAATTCTAAATCTATAAGCTGTACTATAGAAAACTTTATACATAACTATTATTTTTACTTACTGCACAAAAGAGAGGAATTAAAATATATAGATTTTTAAAATTTTTTAATTTTTAGAGAGGGGGGAGAGAGGGAGGAAGACAGGGAGAGAATCATCGATGTGAGAGAGAAACATCGATAGGTTGCCTCTCATACATGCCCCTAAACAGGGTGAACTGTACCCCAGGCATGTGCTCTGACCCAAAATTGAGCCAGCAGAGCCAGCGACCTTTGCAGAACAACACCCAGCCAACTGAGCCACACTGGTCAAGACAAAATTCAATTTTTATATTAACCATTAAGTAGTTACTTGTAGATATCAAACCTCTAGCATTTAAATTTACATACTATCTGTTACTTAGCTAGCAATGATAAAAAACTGTCTTAAATCTTACGATACATATGAAACAAATTATTTACAAGAGAAATTTTTAAATCCTATGTTTAAAAAAATCCATGTCCTATTGTATGTAGTTATTGTTTTGCTCCATTCTGATTTAATATTCCAAGTTAGGCAAACTATGTGACTAAATACAATATAATTAAGTGTTCCTAACTAAAAACATTCAAAGGAGTTCTTTACAAGGTCAAGAGTATAAACTTATCTAATTAAACAGGGCACTCTTTACTGAAAGTGTACATAATAGACAAAATTATTTTGGTAATTATGAATTTAAGATTTCTTTTAAACTGATTTTTAGTAAAGGCAGAGACATTTACATTGATAAAATCTCATCACTGGGTTAGAAAATGCCAAACGACATACCTTCTGTGAGTCTAGCCTTTCCTCCCGTCGGCTGGCACAACACTGTGGAACAACCTACACAGAGAACCACTGTCTGAGCGTGGCTGAAAACCGTGGTGATCTTGTAGCAACCTAAAAAAGGGCCATGTTAAAAGTGAAAAGCAGAAAACACAGCACTTGTTCAACATATTTCTAGTGAAGACCTTGTAAAGGATTAAGTACTTAGGTGTGGCATATAGCAATTACAATAGCAAGCTGCATGTGTAACTGAAACTTCTCTAGTAGCCACAAAATTGTTAAATATTACCATTTCAACATGTAATCAATGGGGGGTGCGACTTCAGAATCTGGTGTGTACACTTAAGGAGTATTTGTTTACATTTTGATTAGCCACATTTCAGTGTGCAGGAGCCACGTATGTAGCCAATGGCCACCATATTGAGCAGCACAGCCTCACACCAAAGAATCAACAGACTTTTCATTGCATCATGAAAAGGAAAACTCATCATCTTATCAGCTTAAGGACTTAGTAAATCAGAAATCATATTCCCTTCGGAGACCCATCTTCACCCTTCTTTCCCCAAAATGTTTCTACAGTGGTTTGAATATATTATGAAAAGGTTCAATTCTGTTATCCCACTTCTACTCAACAGAAGGTCCTAAAAATATACACACCACAATACTGAAATTTTCATTGGGAAAGGAATTAAATCTGAAAATTTACCTGGACATTTTACATCCATAAAATAAGAATTTGGACTTTGAACTAGTCGTTTCTTTTTATGTTTTTTCTTTTCCTCTTCCAAGGACGGATGTAGTAAATCTCTAGCCAACTGAATAAAACAGCCTGTTATTACTACTAAAATGGAAACACAATGCTGGCATATTTAACCAGACGTGACATATACATGCAAAAATAACAGTCATACTCAGCAGACACATTTCAGGGGGTATTTTTTAAAGCTTAACTGTGATCAATACATTCTGTAGCGCTTGCGTTCTCCCAGGCCCGATAAAGGGGCTCCCTGACTATCGGGAAACATATGGTACGGTTAACGCCGTTCTTCTTCACTCAGCTGAGAAACAATCCCCAATAAAAACAAAACTGGGGCGCTAAGCGAGAACGTGACCACGACCCGGCCCCACCGAGAGTAGAAACCGCTGAGACGGGCCGGACAAGGCGAGCCCGGGGAGATTTTGGCAACACCCCCTCCTCCCGCCCGCCCCCGCCGCCCCACGTTAAGCCTCTGAACTGACAGGAGCTCGGAGTGGCTCAGGAGTGGCAGTCCTGGAAGGAGCTGTCGTGTAAGGCAACTGCGAAGTCCGTTTTAAAAAGTAAACAAGCAGACAATCGCTTCCGATAGGAGGCAGAGGGGGCGAACACCACGAAAGAGCCCGAAAGAGACAAACCACAAACAGCTAAAAAGACTTTAAATCACAGCCTCGTGCGAGCCCACCAAAAACCCAGACGGATAAGTTCCCGGGGAAGCTGTCCCCTCCCAGCCACCGACGCCAGGTCCCTGCTCAGGGCGCCCCAGCTGTCCCCACTCCACGCCCTTGCAGGGCCGCCCGGACAACTCCCAACCAGTCCGCCACGCGCAAATAGCTGCGCGATCCCAGCTGCGTTGCCGGGTTTCGCAGGGAGCCCCAGGGGCCAGCGGAGCCGTTGGGCGGACCCGACCCCGGCCGGTCGACACTCTGAGAAACCCGAAACAAGCCTGAGAGTAAACAACTCACAGGCATGTTGATCTTTTCGCGAGGCCAGCCGTCCAGCTCTCTAAGGCGACACCCCTGGCAGGCAGCACGCGATCAACCGCCGGGCATCAACTTCCGGGAGAGAGGAGGCTGGGAGAGGAGGGGCAGGCCGGCGGGGCGGCGGGCTGTCCGCTCTAGCCTCTCCTCTCGGTGGTCGGGCAGGTCTCGGGGCAGGTCTCCGGCCAGGTCCGCAGGTCCTGGGTGGGGGAAGAATGTGAGTGTTGTGCCAGTCCGAGTGCCGGGACTCCGCGAACCCCGCGAGCCCCGCGAACCTAACGGGCTGTGGGGCTGGGGCCGCCGTCGGTAGAGCTCCGCACCGGACCAGAGAGACCAGGGATCAGGTGCACGCCACCCTGTGTGCCCGGCCCGGAAGCCTCCCCGTGCGTAGGCCGCGTGAAGTGTGCGGGCGGCGTCGCGTAACTCCGCGTGCCGACCCGGGCGGGCGTGCCGGGCCCGTAGTCACGATTTGGCCGCCAAGCCAGTCTGCTCTCTTTTCGCTGGGCTACTGCCCGCTGTTCTGTGTATTAAACACAATAGTATTAATTAAAACTATTAACACGTGCCAGGGAGATTATGGGAGAGGCTCCTAATTTGTGCTTCAAGGCTTCCAAGGCACTACTAAAGTTATGGGCTGAGGCTGTGCCTTGGGTTCGCTTGGCCCTAACAAAGTTTTTAAGAAGCACAGATTCTCTGCCATGCTTAGTTCACTGCGAGGCTCCCTCCTGTCCTTTAGCGAGTATGCGAACTTTCCAGAGTGGACAACTCAGGCATAAAAAAACAGTATGTCACAGATCTGAAATAGTTTTGATGAGGAAGACACGCTTGAGGGATGAGTGTGTGAGGGAATGTGATCTGCAGCTAAGAGACCAGGAAGACACTTGACCAGTGAATTGTCCTATAAAGACCTTTTTAATCGCCTTTTTCTGTGTTTGCAAAAATAATATATGCATAATACACACTTTGGAAAATTCAGAAAAATAGAAAATTAAAATCACCGCACAGATGAACATGTTAAACATTTTGACCTATGTCCTTCCACACTATTATTCACTTACATACTGGTTTATTTTGGGTTTTGTTTAACGTAATTGGCATCATCTTGTGCCTATTCCTTTTTAGATTTCATTTTCCCCCAACTTAGTATATATTGAACATTGCTCCGTGTTACTACATATTTTCCTAATTATGACTTTTACTGGGTACATGCAGTGTTCATCATTTGAATATATAGCCTCCTTTCATCCATATGCTAAATTGGGAGTTATGTATTTAATATTTTAAATACGAAAAATATTAAATATTTTCAGACAGATAAGTATGTAGAATAATACAGTTGTGTAGGCAAAATAATGGCCCCCAAAGACTTCAGTGTCCTAATGCCCAGAACCTGTAGTTACATGGCAAGTTGAATTAATGTTACTAATTAGCTGACTTAAACCAGGAAAAATAGCTTGGGTTATCGGGGTAGGCCCAATGTAATTACAAGGGTTCTTAAAAGTGGAAGAGGAAGCCAGATAAAGCTAATCAAGGAAAAAGATGTGTTGATGAAAGAGCCAGCTATGTCACTGGCTTTGAAGATGGAAGAAGGGGGCCATGAGCCAAGGAATGTGTTCAGCCTCCAGAAGCCTGAAAAGGCCAGGAAATGGACTCTCCCCTAGACCCTCCAGAAGGGACACATGCCTGCCAGCACCTCAGTTTGAAGGGTGAGACTTGGGTCAGACTGAACTGGAAAATTGTAAAGTGACAAACTTGTGTTGTTTAAAGCCACAGACTTCATGGTAATTTGTTACAGCACCAATAAAAAACTAATACAATAATGAAGACCCACGTACCCACCCCCCAACTCTATCAATCCCAACGTCAGTACTTCTGACCCCCAGTGTTTCACTAAATAACACTGTAGTAAACATTCTTGTAGATAAGTATTTGTGCACATACTTGATTATTTCCTTAGGATAAATTTCTGGAGGAGTAATTGCTGAGTTAAAAGTCATGCACATTTGCAGACTTATATAAGATAAACTACCAAATTACCCTCCAAAAAAGTCAAACCAATTTACATTCCAGATGGAAATGTTTGAAAATGCCCCTGTTTTGCTCCCTTGACAATACTGGATATTATGTTTTTCCCCATGTCAGTGAATCCAGAAGAATGATATGGCATTTTGTCATATTTCACTGTTGTATTAATACTTTCCATATGCTTATTGCTCATTATGAGCACTTTTCTGTTGGGATGATCATCTGTTTCATTCTTATGTGTTCTATATTAAGGATATTAACTGAATATTTTCCCAACTTGTTTTCTATTAGTTTTATCTTATTAATTTTAGTTTTTGGTGATTTAAAAATCATACAGTAAATTTATATATGTACATATATACTGTATAATGCAGGCATACCTTGTTTTATTGCATCTTATTGCACATCACATGTTGCATGTTTTACAAATGGAGGGCAAAACCCTCCACCAGTAAAAGGATTACATCTCTCCTAAGTGTGATGCTCGCTTTATTACAGTGGTCTGGAACCAAACCCACAGCATCTCCAAGTATGGCTGTATATTTTAAACCTATTGGTTTGCTTTTTTTTTTAAGACATGCTTTGACCACCTTAGGAACAGCTAAATATTTGCTTATACTTTCTTCTAATTCTTTTTTTAGGATTTTATTTATTTTTAGAGAGAGGGGAAGGAAAGGAGAAAGAAGGGGAGTGAAACATCAATGTATGGTTGCCTCTCATGTAGCCCCTCCTGGGGACATGGCCTGCAACCCAGACATGTACCCTGATTGAGAATTGAACTGGTGATTCTTTGGTTCGCAGGCCGGTGCTCAATCCACTGAACTACACCAGTCAGGGTCTTCTAATTCTTTTGTAGTGATTGTTATTTTTTGACTTTTTAATTAACCTGGAATTTATTTTGGCACTTGATCTATAGTAGGAATCGGAATAGCTTCTAATGATCAGGCCTAGCTATTGCTTCCATTCCTTAACCAGTGCCTAGTACAGCATCAAACCCTCCAACTTCGGAGAAACTGGGGTAGCATGAGAAATGGAACTCTCAAGGGCAAGAAGACCTGAACTCTTTTTATAATTTAGCCACCCCCTCCAGAGCTCAGTTTCTCCTAAAATGTCACCTGGGTTTTTTCACAGATGGTAGATGAAGGAACATGAAGACAGATGCAGGGACCCAGAGTCCCTTTGCCTTGGTAGACTGTTCTCCGGGATCCTGCAAGAGGAGCTCCCACCTGGCTTCCCAAGGAACCATGAAATGCCCATTGGAGTTCTGTTTACTGCCTGAGAGCTCTCCAGCTGTTTGATCTGGCCAGGTCTGATAAGGTGCTGCTGAACTCTCCCAGTCAGCACCTGGCTGCCTTCACCTCAGAAGTGTGCCGCCATCTTCTCTCTTCCCCCTTTACTGACTTCAGACACTGGGAAAACTCGCAGGTGGTGGGAGGTAAGCTGGGAACCCAACTCATGCTAAATTTCAAGCTGGCCAAGACTAGTTCTAAATAGATCAGATTCCACTTTCCTCTGGGTTAGAGTTCTTCATGCTTGTGTCCTTTTTTCCCCAGAAAGATGGTCAGAGGTTTTGTTTAGTTTAGTTTTTAAGAAACCTGGAGTATGAGATGGGAGCCCTAAGTAACTTTTCACACTTCTGCCTTTCTAAGCACTTTTTTGAGATGCTCAGAGAAATCAGTGTCATTAGCAAACTTTAACAAGGCTACATTCTTCTTTCTCTTCCTTCTATTGTCCACCTGTTTGCCGGTTTCAAAGCACATGTGACTTATTCTCAACACATGCCTGAAAACAGAAGCAACCTCTGGAAAGCCCACCTTTTCTTTACATACCAGTTCTTCAACAGGGTCACAACCATTGTTCCAGAAGCTCCATTGTAAGAGTTCACATCCACCTGCATTCATAAAGATGTTTGACACTCTCAGGTAAGCTCCCCTCCACAAGGGGGTAAGAGTCTCAGACGAACACTATGCTGTCATTTTCTTTATTTTCCATACCAACTTAATTTCTGACGGAGGCTGAGCCCTTATGGAGCTTGTGCTATAGATTGAATGTTTGTGTCCCCCCAAAATTCATATGTCCTAACCCCCAATAGGTTCATACTGGGAAGTGGGGGCTTTGGAAAGTGGTTAGGTTATCAGGGTGGAGCCCCATGAATGGGATGAGTGCCTTTATAAATGAGGCCTCAGAGAGCTCCCTGCTGCCATGTAAAGACACAGGGAGAAGACTACCTTCTATGAACAAGGAAGTCGACTCTCTCCAGGTACCAGATCTGCTGAAGCCCTTGACCTTGGACTTCCTAGCCTCCAAAATTGTGAGAAGTTAGTATATGTTGTTTAAACCACTGAATCTGTGTCCAGGAGGCTGCCTCTGATGGGCTACAGCAGCTGGGTTCTCTCGCCCCCTGGATTCTAGTTGGGTTGGGCCAATGGGAGGCATTAGCAAGAAATCACAGGGCAGGAGAAGAGCAGTGTCAGGGTATTTATTCCCATGGGTTTATCCTCGGTGGGCCATTTTCTCCCAAGTGGTTGTGTTCTCTAAGGGTTTCAGTTGCTTCAGGTGTTCCTTTCCCACAGTTCTCATGCGATTCTAATCACCACTTCCTCCCCTTTTGGCCCTTTGACCTGAGAGGTGGAACCTCACAATCTTTTGCTGGTTTCTGTTAACCCTGCCTCAGCCTTGTAAATAGTCCCTACAAGTTGCTAACTTCAGTTGCCCATTTTGAATGGGCCATCTGTGATCTGCCAGAACCCCGACATGGGGATCCCCTGCCAGGATGTGCTCCTTCTTAGCCTGGAAGGCTGTGTGGATGTGGTCCATCAGCTCTTCAGTCATCCAGCCTGGTCATCCCAGGATATCCATCGTCCCTGCCTGTGGAACCCTTTGGGTTTAACAGGTCGTGGCTTGAGATGGATATGGGCACCTTTAGGGAGACATCTGAGAGTCCTAGCCATGGAGATCTTTGCCACCTCGTGGGCCAGCAGCATTGGGAAAACCTGGGAAGTTTTTGGAAATGCAAACTTTCAGTCCCCACCCCAGACATTCTGAGTCAGAATCTGCCTGAGTCTCCAGGGAAGAAAGTGAGTTACTTAGAGGCCAAATGCTCTTTCAAACTCCATTGTCTTCTCACAGCTCACAGTGAAGATGTTTTGTGAAGATGTTAGGGTAAGCAGAAATGTATGCAAATGTCATCTCTCCCTTTTCTGAACTCCTGCAGCACTTATTGCCTACGTTAATCATTGTTTAATAACCATTTCTGTCTTATGTGGTTTTTTGTTTTATGCGCTTGTACTATACTGTAATTTCATTTCCTTTTATGTTTATGTATCTATGTCTTCTATTCTCTAAAAGTCCACAGCCCTCCTAAAATCGTGATTTGGTCTCACCTCCTCACATGCCTAAAACAGTGCATAATAAGTGCAGGAATGTGCCCACTGAGTGCCACATTCAACACAACTAACCTGATGGTCATTCTTTGAGGACTAATAACTATTGCCCCTCTAGTCTATCTATAGCCCTTCTATTCTAGTTGTAACTTACTAGGTTCTTTGTGACACATGCCTTTGACCTTTCCTCTGCCTCAACCTGGTATGATGAAAAAACCAAATGACCACTTAATTCTGGCTAAGCCTCAGTTAACTTGTGTCTTAACTTGGGAAAATAACCCTAAGTCATTTTAGGGTTGGTGAGATATTATAGTGAGTGCTTCCCTTGGAAAGTGTGTACAGGCAAAATAAATGAAATCATTCTCTTTTACCACTAGATAAAATTGGATTAAAAGGCTAATGAGCCCAAGGGTTCAAAGTATTAAGAATGGTATTTTATTTATTCACATTGATATAGAAATCAGTTGGCTCTAGGAACCTTGGCCTGATGGTGATTTCCTTCATAATAACATGTAAAATGCAATGTTTTTACAACAGTTCTGCCTTAAGGAAAATATGAATATATTCCATCTGCAGAAAATGTTTGCAGGAGTCTTACCTTTGATCAAAAGCTTAGAGATTGTTCTTGCAAAATCCAAAAGGTGGCACAAGAAGTCACTTCTTATGCAGGACAAGCACTGGCCAGCAGAGAGCTTGTCTTTCTGTTCGATAAGGGCCCTTGTCCTGGAGATGCCTTCCTAGTCTGTTACATACATGGCCACTCCATAAGTAGCTGTGCAGACCATGGTTATTATGGGATTTCTGAAAGGAAAAAGAGATGTGGCCTAGAAGGCAGCAGAGAGTGACTCTAGTCTTCTGCAAATATTTTCCCCTACATATCCCACTCATCTGGAACTAGTTAACTACATTAAACTACTTAAATTCCAAATTGCCTTTAGGTAAAAGTAAATACCACTGGCTCTAAGTATATATTTTTATAGAGACATATAGTCCAAAAATCTATAGAAGGTCTACCTTCATTATTAACTGTGCCAGATTGGTGGTCATTGGGTAGCCTAGACCAAAGCAGCAGAGCACTGGGAAACGAGCTGGGGGAGGAGAGTTGTGTTACTGACCTGTAGTGTTTGCTAATTTCCATGCATGTTGCCACTGTGGCCAGTGTCAAGTACTAAGATGAAGTCATGTACTAAGGTGGGGAAGAGATAGATGAGCACAGTCTTCTGTTCAGGTAATGCCATAGACTTATTTTAGGAGTATTTCCACTACCATCAGAATTACTAATGAAAATAAAAGGAAGTTTGGGGCTTCCTTTTCTCTTTCCTTGTTCAAGAAGCAGAGAGTGGGAATGAAACATAAGGAAAAGAATGGACTACTAAACAAGCCCAACATGGATGACCTTGAATAAAGAAGAGTTGACCTACTGGATAATTTGGCCCACCTGGGCACAACATATAACAGAGTAAGAGTTCTATGATACATTGCTGTCTGACTTGCTAATAGAGAGGTTTATATTAAATATAGATTTTCAGGTTAGGAGGAAACAATCCATTCCAGTTTTAGACAGTTATAATTGTTCCTTTTTTTCTTTTGTTAATTTTATTTTTATCACTGTTATTTTTTAAATACTCACCCATGAATATATTTATTGCTTTTCTAGAGAGAGAGAGAATGAGGGAGAGAGAAACATACATTGATGTGAGAGTGAAATATCCATCAGTTGCCTCAACCAGCAACCTGGCTATGTGCCCTGACCAGAAATGAAACCCACAGCCTTTTGGTGTACAGGATGATGCTCCAACCAACTGAGCCACCTGTCTAGGGCTCTAATTTTTCCATATATCCTGTAAAAATCTACTTTTGTTTTTGTTTTTGTTTTTTTATCATCATTTGAGGACATGCTGATTGACTTTAGAGAGGGGACAGGGAGGGAGAGGGGAAGAAAAACATCAGTGTGAGAAAAACATTCAGCTACCTCTTGCATGCATCCTGACAGGGGACCAAACCCGGAACCCAGGCATGTACCCTGACCCGGAATTGAACCAGCAACCTTTCAGTTTATAGAACAACACTGCAACCAGCTGAACCACATTGATCAGAGCAAAATCTCCTTGTTTTTTAACTTAAATTAATAAAATTCACATTAACCCTTCCTGGATTCTGGCCCAGGAAGGGCACATCAAAAATACATTCATTTATTTTCCAAATGACATCCCCATAGCTAATTGAGGATGGCTTTACTTCTTTAGGATGAATATCACAGGCTCCTACAGTCTTTGCACTTTCTCATCACCCTTTCTGTTTCTCTGGACATGCTCCAATTTGTCCATATTCCCCTTAAAATAGGCCCAATGAATTAACATATTGCCAGCTCAGAATAACACGGAATCATTACTTGTATTATTCTGTAATTATATGTGCATCAATACAGCCCAATATCACATAAGCTTTTGGGTAATTCAGTGGCATCACATGATTGATTTATATAACTTATAGCTCATTAAAATCCTTAGTCTTTTTAACTGTTATTAAACCTCATATCCCTTATGCTATAATTGCATTTTAAGGAATCTAAGTCTAGTACATATACTAAAAACCTTTGAATTATACCTTTTAAAACAGTGAGCTGACTAATATGTGAATTATATCCCAGTAAGTCTGTTGAAAAATATAATTGCAAGAAAGAAAGACAGATGTATCTTATTAAACACTAAATTTTTGTATTAAATAACTACTAAATTTTGCCAGACACATTATCTCATATGCTCCTTTCAACAATCCTTTGGAGTTCTGGGGCATTAAGAAACTTGTGGAAGTAAAGGAACAAGGATCTGAACCAGACCTACTCAAGATGCCCACGCTCATGTCAGGCTCATAACACCACACTGTCTCCCTGTCACCTTGCTGCATGCTGGGCTTTGTAACTGGTGACCGGTCGAAGTCAGTGGACAGGGGTCTGCCAGGCAGTCAGAGCTGTAGGACCACATGGATCCTTCAAGCAGTAACAGGTGATATAGTGACTTAGAGAGATTCAGGGTTAGAAAGGTCTGGTAGGTAGCAAAAGGCAGATGTCCCACAAGTGGAACAAATCTGATTACTGGCAGTGGTGAAGTGGGGGTGGTGGAATGGTGGGAGATGTTGGGAAAACAGTGTGAGTGACCCAGACAGGCAGTGTGGGTCAGGCAGGACAAGGGACAGGTAGCACACCCCCAACTTGCTCTGCATTTCAGGTTTGTTACTTGGGAAAAATAGACATGAGCAAATTAGAGTCCTGATTTTGAAGAGACCAGGGTCTTGGTCAGGTTATGGAGGCAGGGGCTGAAGCCTGAGCAATTAAGGACTCAGGTCCTGAAAGAGGGAATCAAAACTGAGACTCAGTGTCAGGATGAAGGCAGAGGCCCAGAAGCCAGAACCAGGGTATTTGATCAGAGCAGGACAAGTCACAGGGTAACCTAACTGTGTCCCCTAAACTACTGAAACAAGGCTTCTCAGAGCCTTCAGCTAGAGACGGGATCTGTCACTGAATCTGGCGCAAGGCCAAAGCTGTGGATGAGTGTTAAGTCACCAGCAATGGGGACTGACAAATCGTTAGAAGAGACTAGTGTTTATCCAGTATTTTTTGTTTTTGCCGAAACATGCATGACCAATGACAGCCACAGATACACATAACCATGTAGAAGTATTCAGGGTTGGACAAAATTCTGGGTGTGCCACGTATAATGCCATCTGTTTAACAGGAAGTGACTGAGAACTTTCTTTCAGGAATAACTTTAAATCTGTTCTATTCAATTTTATCATCAGCAAAAACTACTTGTGTGCATGCCTGATTTTGGCAGACCAGTGTGATTGGACCACCCAGGCAGTCCTCATGAGACAGGCCCTGCCCGTGTAACCAGAATCCTTGGCTTAGCCTCTCTCTCAGCGCCAGCTCACTCACTTAGCCAAGGCTCCTTGGGTTTCATGTAACAGATATGTCCGAAGCTTGCCTGAGCTAAAATGGAGAGTGTGCTGGACCTGGGCCAGGGCAGGAAGGGTAGTTGGGCTTCATGGGGGTCAGAACAAAGCCCAAGAGGCCAGTGGGAATGGAGATGGCTATTCTTTTGCCACGTCTCTTTTTCTCTCAGAGGTGACCTGGTTTCTCATCTCTGCTTCTCCCTGACACTGTTTCAGTCTCCTTTGTCTACATCCCAGTTTTTCCTGCCTCTCAGAGCACGCAGTGAAAGTGACCATGCCTGTTCCCTGTTATGTGCTGTCCTAGTTCTGGGGTCAGTAGTGCCTGACCAGAAGGCCTGTGTCCCCATTCCAGGTGCCCTGGAAAAGAATCTGGTTCTCTCAGCTTAGGAGTGTCTGCGCTCATCCTCTCTGGGCGCTTGGAGTGATAGTGACTCCTGGGGCCACCCTGGGGAAGGGGATGGGGAAGCTCTTAGGGAAGGAGGCATAGGCTAAATGGAGACCCCATAAGGCAACTACTCCTGTCAATAGTCTAAATCATCGTCCTTTAGGCTGCCTTGCTGCTTGGTGTTCTGTCTCCCCCTGAACCACTGAACATTGGCTGGACATAGTTTGTTCACGGAACACACCTTCATGAGTGTCAGCAAATTGATGCTGAATATATGCAACAAAAACATTTTTTTCATGTAGAATAATCAAATCTAGGGACCAAATGTTGAGGAGAGAAGCCAGTTTAAATTAAAAATGTACCAATATATTGGAACTGAGCCTGTTTACAAGGATCTACACTGCCTAACAATGTATTTTACAAGCAACAAAATTACTTATGCATAGACTCAAGTAATTAATTTGCGAAGTGCCTTTTTTTAAACAGCTTTTATATTGTCTGAATGAGAACTACCTTATACTTCTTCAACTATCCAAAGAATATAATCTGAAATCAGGGGCTAGAAGCAGAAAACCTGGAGGTTCTGATGTACTGGGTCCTGCTTCAGATTTATAAGGTGGCATTAATGGAACTGTAGGGGCAGGTTGTTAAATCTGAAGGTTATCCTCTTAGGCTCTCAAAGAACCAAGACTCCTCCCCTACAATCTATGATGATGCTGATAATTATGCTTTCATAAGTGCTCATTTTGTGCCAGGCATTGTGTAAAGCACTTTACATGAATTATCATTTAATCTATACAGCATCTCAATAAGATAAATAGTGTTATTGTTCCCATTTTACAGATGAGGAAACTAAGGCACAGAGTTGGTCAAGTACCATTCCTGAGGTCCCACGAAGGGTAACTGGCAGAACCAAGATATAGGTCTAAGTCTGTTTGAAGACCTTTGATGTTAATATAATACACTTAGATCTTCCAACAATACATTAAAAAATATTTGAAAATGAAGCTCCCAAAGGGCATTAGGCCTTCCTCTCCATGTGCTGAGTACACACTCTGTGCTGCATCGCATTCCCCATCCTGTTACTTTTCATCCCTCATTGCGTCTTTTTATTTTCAATGCATTGAACAATGTGTGTGTGTCCTCTAAAGAAGGAACTGATGTCAGGGGCAATGAGAAAATGATTAAGACCCTTTCAGGATTTTCAAGGAGCCCAAGGTCTCCTAATATTAAGGAAGAAGCTGTACAAACATAGTTATGACATAATAGTGAACATTTTACTCCATCCTAGAAACACAAAGGCTCCAGGAGATTACGGGAAAGAGAGCACATGTCTACTAAGTATATAAAAGTTATGATTTGCTGCATATGCATGTTTTTAGATGAATTGTGTAGGAGAGACAGAAATCCCATGTTAGCCAAAGTAATCAACAATTCCCGGGTTCTCACCAGTCTGGATATGACTTCTGGTAAATCACGTACCCGTGTCTTTAAGTGAAGTGTGGAATGTGACCCCCAAGAATAAGACACAAGACTTTAAAGGAAGGAGTGGGTCCTCGACAGGCTTTATCCACACTGCGCCTGAAGATAACACCTCTAAGGTGAGCTGTCAGCCAACCAACCATGACAGTGACAACAGGAAGAAGTGCAGGGGAGGTCTTTGAGAAAGAGCTTTTCCTTCAGTGTGACACTTTAGATCTCAAGGATCTTTCCAGGATAGTCCTAAGAATAAATGGGGACACCTGTTCTTTGTACTTTGCAGAAACCATTCCATCATCTGCCGCCAGCTGGACCAGTGGATCTTGGTGCTGCCAGAAATCGGAACCATGCGCTGATTACTCACTCTGTGCTCCACTCCTGTTACCAAACCCTGTTTCTGCCCAGGTAATGTGAGCCCAGCTCTGCTTTTCAGGACCCCTGAAGTCTGCACAAGTCTGTGATCAGGACTTAGAGGCTTAACTGTGGCAGTGGAAGGCAGGATGCACTCCAGACTTTGGATAAAAGGGCTCCAGTGCTCCCTTTTCATTTATACACAACTTTACATTACAAAGCCCATCCCAGTCATCATTAATTAAACCTGCCACTCTGCGGTAGGGCCGAATCAGTCTGCTCATTTTACAGCTGACAACACAGATCAGAAAGGCTTAGGGATTTGCTGAAGCGAAGTGGTGTTCAATCAAGGACACCTGGCCCAATTCCCTGTCTAGTTTATTCTTTTTTTACTTGGAAGAGGCCTTCAAAGTGCCAGGCTCTTAACTCCGAGCAGCTTAAGGAAGTCAACTGGGAAGAGATGCTTGGCAGAGAAACAGCAATAATCTAGACCAGAGCACCAGTGTGGGGTTTGAATTATTTGCAAATAGCTAAGTCATATTCTTGTGGTTCTTAATGGATATTGAATACACATATGCACATGTACATACACACACACACACACACACAGAGTTTCTCCTGCCAGGTCGGGGGCAGGGCCAAGACATTGAGACATAGTTGGAATGTTGCTTCAGAGCAATGCTACATTTGGCCTGGTGGAAAGCAGCCCACCCATTACTCACCCTTCAACCCTCAGTTACCATATCCTTCATATTGTAATTTTAAACAAACTTAAAATCAAACCTATTCTAACAGCAGGTCTAGTCCCATATTTGTGGGGCCTGGGACAAGAATAAAAATGGAGGCCCACATACCATGTATCTAAATACTTAAAAACTGTAGCTGAAGTTAACAAGCTAGTTTCATATCTTAACAGATACATGTTCATAATGACCTAGAAAACGGGTTTGAATGTAGAGTATTCTGGCGGCTCAGAGCTCCACACCAGAATGTAGTGATTCAAGGAGAGCAGTCCTGGCCCAGACCAATGTCCTCCTTCCCCACCTGCAGGCCCAGCCCACATCATGACGAGTTCACACACACAATCAGGATTCCAGCCCATATGTTCAAGCTCTGGCGACATCACCACCACCTTTTGGCCACCACTTGGGCTGCTGGTGCCATACCAGTGGCACAGTCCACCCTTTGAAGGGTAAATCAAGATTAGAGGCCCACACCAGTCCTGGAAGCAGAGCTTTTGGCAAGAATTCTGGGGTCTAGGTACCCAGAGTGTGGCCAAAGAGGGGGCATGTCTCTGAGTAAATAAATCCGTCTGGCCTGTGGACTCCTTGCCCAGTGGGGAGAAGTGACCAGAAGAGGGCAAGGGTAGGGGTCTCTAAAGAGCAATCCGCAGGAGAAGGGTTATGCTTGCCAAGACCTAAGAGCTAATATATCTGGACAAATAATAAATAAGCCAAAAGTGTGAGTTAATGCTGGAACCTGTACAAATCTGGATAGCATAAATAATTGTTCAACTATAAAATACAGAGGCACGAGCTGTTTCAAGTGTTTTGTCTGCTGCCTCTCACAGAAAACTTGCTCACTCTGGGCAGTAGGCATGGTCTCTGGTAGGTATAAGGGCTAGAAATCAAATGAATAAACTCTGTACTTAAATATTTAACTGGAGAGGTTGAGTTCTCATAAAAAAGCAGGTATCAAAGCTCTAGCAGGGGTGTCCAACCTTTTGACATCTCTGGGCCACACTGGAAGAAGACTTGGGCCACACATTAAATACACAAACACTAACAAAAACTGGTGAGCAAGAAAAGGTTGTAAGTAAGTTTACGATTTTGTGTTGGGCCACGGGTTAGACACCCCTGCTGGATGATCCTAGGGTGGGTACCCCTGCTTTTGTCTCACCCAAATGGACCAAATGGGAGGAAGAAGAAAAACATGACTCTCTGGGCCACCAGGTTGGTATGTGCTACCTTGCCTTTGCAGAGGTGTCCTTGAACCAGCCAGGGTTGCAAGGAGCTGTGGGTAAAACAGATCCCTCTGTCCATATAATTTCCCTCAGATTGGGGTCATATCACAGTCCTGGTTTGACATGCAAGGAAGTTAAAATTATGAGCTTCCTTATTCACTCATATCTCAATTTTATTTAAATTAATGATTCACAACACTTACTTTTGAAGGAACTATGTCCACATATAAGAAGTATTTTTATCATCAATTCCCAAAGCAAAGATGGCAATAGGGAGATGTGTAAAGTGTGTGCCTTAGTGCTGGTTTGTTGCTGTTGTATTATGCTAACACATGTATATGTTAACAATGCTAAATAGAATTGAATTCTGGATTTTTGGCTCAAAGGCTTTAGTCCAACCTTCCCTGAAGGGGTTGTTCCTAATATATAAATGAGATAATTCCTTAATGATCTTCCCATGTTGGTCATATAAATCAACTCCTTAAAAATTTTTGCCTTCTAAATAGAGATAAAGATATGGCCCAAATCAGAACAAGAGTCAAACCCACAACATCAGGTGGTAGTCACTTCTGAGTTGTGGACAGACAGGTCTTTCTCCTGCTCCCATAGCCACCTGCCCTGAACAAATTCACTGTCTGTTCAGTCAGAGCTGCTCCGCAGAGCCAGGAGCACTTTATATGCCTATATGACCCCACTTCTGGTTGTCACTTGACAACTTGGCCTGTCTACTACTGAGCTGCTGCCCACACAAGTATCTAACTTCCTGAAAGCAAACCCACAGCCGCCCCACCACAGTTCAGGTTCTCACATCACTGCGATTCGTCTTCTTTGCACATCCCGTTCAAGTGCAGTGTGTGTCCAAACTAAGTGACTTAGTAGTAGTGGTCAATAGACTGTGCTGGGGTGATGCTGGCCTGCCATTTAATAAGAAGCATGGCTCTGGTATGATACTGATGACTGCTGGTAAAGCCTGACATCACTGAGACCAAGTGATACAAACTTCCCCTTATCCAGAGCAGCTAGGGAACGGGGAGTTCTAACGCAATGGGTAATCTGCTTAACTGCAGACTGCCAGTGTGGGAAGGAAAATTAATATTGAAAGAACCAGCAACCAACAAAACAGCATATTGCTGGCATATCCTAATTTTACCTAGCATTGTAATTATTTACGTGTGTGCCCCATTTCTCCTTTAAGACCGTGGGCTTCTTAAGGGATGGTCTATGTCAGTTTCATCTTTATTTCCTTAGAGCACCCAGTGAGTTGCTTTATACACTGTAGGTAATAAAATAATGTATTAAATGAATGAAAATATAGACACAGACTACTTTACCAACATAACTGCATCCTTCATTGATGACTCAGAAGGCCCTCCAGGATCACACATTTCTTCAGCTTCATTTTATGGCTAATAGCTCTCAGAATGTTTAATACACTCCAAGTGGCTGAAAGGGGAATTCTACAATGACTGGAAGTTAGGACTGACTATCTAGTGACTCATTCCAATTTGCATGTGCATGTGTTTAAAAGTCAAATACTAAAATGACTTCATTCATTATTGCCTAAAAGAAGCACCACAACACAGTGCAGTCTATGAAAAGAATGGAGTGCAATAAGGAGTGTTAACCAGGTTGTAAATCTTAACCAGGTCAAGGAATTTATCTTTGAGATTTTTGAAAAAGTAGTATGTTATTAGTTCCATTAGTATATTACCATTATTTTTGAAAGTCCAATCATCAGATTATAATTTAGTAATTAATGCAAACATATTTATCACTATATGCCTAATATATGCCAAGCTCTGTGTTAGTCATTAGGGATACAATGTGAATATGATTCATGCCTTCAAGAAATTTAAATAATTCACCTTTAAAAACATTTTATTGTGCAGATCATTTTACAGAATTTACATGTCACTACAGGAAATTAGCCTGGGTATGATGCGACCCTCTGACATATCCTACAACTCACTCAAAATACACAATAATACAAAAGAAAAAAAGTGAATGTTAGCTTAATTACTTACTAGTGGTATTTTTCTCTGAAAAAAAAAAAAAAGAAACGAAAACACAGCATCCAGAATGTTCACTTAAAAATCTGGTTTTTTGTACTTTCAGAATTCTGGATAAATGTGCTTCTGCACATAAGGTGATTGTCACTTCAGTTTGGTACAATGTCTGCCGGTCCCCCAGAACTCGGGGGTAAAGCAGCTGCCCTAGGTAGGGAGGAAACAGCCATGTGGCATGCCCACACCCTTGGCTGGTCTCTCTGTGGGTCCAATAAGGGATAAGGAACCGAAGCAGCATGAGGGAGCCCTGCTCTGGGACTTAGGAAAAACCCAGGAGGTAAGAACAGGTGTTCCAGGGCCAGTTTGCCAGAAACTCTGGTAATGGATGCTGCCTCCCTTCCAGACAGCTTCCTGTAAACATGCTGATTTTCATCGTAACAGCAGGACTTTACTATTTAGATCTGCATATCTAAAACTAAGGGCTTAGATTAAACCAGAGATTCTCAACCTATATTCTGCAGGACACAGGTCCCATAAGATGCATTATCAAAGAGGGACCTCAGGCAGGATGTGGGGAAGAGTGCACACCACACCCAGTTGTGGAGTCACAAGGCACATCAGCCTATTAAAGGTCTGAGAGGCCGTACCATCAAAACACTGATAGCAGCATTCTCAAAAAACTTTGACCATGAAATCCTTTCTTCTAGTTTCACCTGTTAATATCTGCTGATTCACCTAGTATGCTGAGGTGTGAACTTTGGAAGCATTACAATAAACAATCTCTATATTTATTGGTTTTATAGAATCATAAAGCAGAAACCAGTCTAAGAAATCAGAGGTCCATGAGTAAGATCTCATTGCTAGTCTGGCCAAACTAGGCCCCTTTAATTTGGCAGTTTCTTATACTTCATGTGCTAAAAACCCCAATGAATGAAATTTTACAGTGAGGAGGGCTAGAAAAATCATCAATAATAGAATTTACAGGTAATCTCTAAACTCCAGGGTCTTCACTTCTGGTTAAACCCTATTGTTTGAAGTTACTTCTGATTAAGCAAAACTAATGGTATGTATTCGTAGGCTAGTGG